CTCACTGGTTTGGCTTAGTGGGTAGAGTATTGGCCTGAGGACTGAAGGGTCCTGGGGTTGATTCTGGTCAAGGGCTTGTGCCTAGGTTATAAGCTCCATCCCTGGCTCTGGTCAGGGTGCATGTGGGAGGCAACCAATCAATGAGTCTTTCTCACATCGGTGTTTCTCTGTGTCTCTCTTCCTCCCTCCCACTCTCTCTAAAAATCAATGGAAAAATATCCTCGGGCCTGGCTGGCGGGTTCCGTGGTTGAGTGTAGACCTATGAACGAGGAGGTCACAGTTTGATTCTGGTCAAGGGCACATGCCTGGGTTTCTGGCTCCATCCCCAGTAGGGGGCATGCAGGATGCAGCCTATCAATGATTCTCTCTCATCATTGATGTTTCTATCTCTCTCTCCCTCTCCCTTCCTCTCTGAAATCAATAAAATAAAAATGTATTTTAAAAAATATATCCTCAGCTGAGGATTAACAAAATAAATAAAATAAATAAATAAGAAGCTGCCTGGCCATAGCCTCTCCCAGTGCCCTAGGCGGTCCCCGATCTGTCTCTTGCTTCAACAGTGTTTGGACAGAACAGACCCAGGGACACCCCTTCTTCCAGCTCCGGCCACTCTCCTGCGTCTGATCCAGTCACCACCTTCAGAACCACCTCTGGGACCAGCCAACACACTGGTTTTGTGGGGTTTTTGTGTGTTCTTTCCTACCTTAACTCCTTATTGTCAAACCACCATGAGCTCCCAAATTCCTCAGGATTATTCCACCCAGGTGGAGGCTGCAGTCAGCCACCTAGCCAACCTGCATCTGCGGGCCTCCCACACCTACCTCTCTTGGGGCTTCTTTTTCAATCAGGATGATGTGGCTCTCGAAGGCATGGGTCACTTCGGAGAAGAAGCACGAGGGCGCTAAACATCTCTTAAAGCTGCAAAAACAGCGCGGTGGCCGCATTCTCTTCCAGGACGTGCTGAGGCCTCCCCAAGATGAGTGGGCAAAACCCAGGACGCCAGGGAAGCCGCCCTGGCCTTGGCGAGGAACCTGAACCAGGCCCTTTTGGAGCTGCAGGCCCTGGGTTCTACCCGCACTGACCCTCACCTCTGTGACCTCCAGGAGAACCACTTCCTGGGTGAGGAGGCGAAACTCATCAAAAAGATGGGTGACACCTGACTAACATCCGCAGGCTGCCGGCCCCCAGGCTAGGCTGGGCGAGTATCTCTTCGAAAGGCTCACCCTCAAGCACAACTAGGAGCCTGTGGAGCCCAGAGGCCTTTGGGGGGCCCCTCTGCATCCCCTGGTGTCTGGCTTTTACCTGAGCCTCTTCCTGAAACTACTAGCCATTCTTTTAACCACCCTGAAGCCCTCTCCCATGCATTGAACCAAAAGAAACAATAAAGCTTTTTTCAGCAAAAAAAAAATAAGTAAGTAAATATAAATAAATAAACAAACAGACAAACAGACAGACAATGATGTCAATACAGTTCAGTCCAGACGTGTTCACTGAGTCCTGGTGTGTGTTAGACACTGTATGCGTTGCCAGGGATGGTCCCTCTTCTCATGGAGTTTGTAGTCTAGTGGGAAAGTCAGACATTAATCAAATCATCGCCCAGATTTAAAGCTGCAGTGGAGTCAAAGACACCAGATGGGCTACAGCCAGACAAAGGAGTAGTATCCAGAATATATAAAGAACTCCTACACTTAATAAGAGGTGATCCAATAGAAGCACTGTCAGATGAATCAATGGGCAATTTTAAAAAGACAGAAGGCAAATGGCCAATAAACAAATGAAAGTATACTCAGTCTCTTTTTTAAAATATATTTTTATTGATTTCAGAAAGGAAGGAAGAAAGAGAGAGAGATAAAAACATCAATGATAAGAGAGAATCATTGATCGGCTGCCTCCTGCACGGCCCACACTGGGGATTGAGCCTGCAACCTGGGCATATGTCCTGACTGGGAATTGAACCCTGACCTCCTGGTTCACAGATCAGATGCTCAACCACTAAGCCACACCAGCCGGGCCTCAGTCTCTCTTGTAAACAGGGAATTGCAAACTAAAACATTGAAATAACCATGTCACACCCATAAGCTTGGCAAAAAAATTAAAGTCTGACATTACCAGGTGTTGCTGAGGATGCCAACCACGGGAACTCATATATTGCTCTCGAAAAGTAAACTGGTCCTACCACTTTGAAAAACTGCTCAGTCAAGCTGAGTGAAGCTGCTAACTTGCATGACCTGAACCCAGCAATTCCACACCCAAGTATCTCCCCAGATGGCTCATTTTCATACAAGGGGAAGGGATAAAAAAAAATATATATTAATTGGCCCTAACCGGTTTGGCTCAGTGGATAGAGCATTGGCCTGTGGACTCAAGGGTCCCAGGTTTGATTCCAGTCAAGGGCATGTACATTGGTTGCAGGCACATACCCAGTAGGGAGTATGCAGGAGGCAGCTGATCAATGTTTCTCTCTCATTAATGTTTCTAACTCTCTAACCCTCTCCCTTCCTCTCTGTAAAAAATCAATAAAATATATTTTTTTAAAAATATATTAATTGTAGCACTGTTCCCAAGAACAAACTAATTTGAAAATAAGCTGAATGTCCTCCAGAAGGAGACAGGTAAGTAAAGTTTGGTGAACATGATCTAGAACAGTGGTTCTCAACCTTCCTAATGACGCGGACCCTTTAATACAGTTCCTCATGTTGTGGTGACCCCCAACCATAAAATTATTTTCGTTGCTACTTCATAACTGTAATTTTGCTACTGTTATGAATCATAATGTAAATATCTGATATGCAGGATGTATTTAGGCGACCCCTGTGAAAGGGTCGTTTGACCCCCAAAGGGTCGCGACCCACAGGTTGAGAACTACATGTATCCGTAAGAGTACATTTCAAAATCATAATGCTGAATGAAGAAAGCAAGCTGCACAATGATATAATCAGTATAATGCCATTTCTTCAGTTTACAAACATGCCAAACAATTCTATAAAATGTTGATAGGCAGAAATACATGTAGTAAAAATTCAGAAACGTGCATGGGAATGATAAACCCCAAATGCAGGAGAGTGGGTACCTTAGGTTCAGAGGGCTCCACCTGGTTTTGTAAAGTTTTATGTCCTTAAGAAAAGATTTGGCCCAGCCAGTGTGGCTCAGTGGTTGAGCATCGGCCTATGAACCAGGAGGTCACGGTTTGATTCCCTGTCAGGGCACATGAAGGGGTTGTGGGCTCGATCCTCAGTAGAGGGTGTACAGGAGGTAGCCAATCAATGATTCTCTCTCATCATTGATGTCTCCATCTCCTTCTTTCTCTCCCTTCCTCTCTGAAATCAAAAATGTGTGTGTGTGTGCATGTGCGTGTGTGTGCGTGTGTGTGTGTGTGTTTAAGAAAATATTTGAAGAAAAATTAGCAAATGTTAAGCTTTGACAAAGGGCGGAGGAGGTGGTAGAGGAGGGGCATAGAAGAAAAATATGTTGATATTATTCTCTAGTTTTTTATAGGCTTTGATCTATCAAAGGAGGATTTGACTGAATCGGGGTTGGGGTGGGAGAGGGTTCAGAGGTGTCTCTGAGGACATGGTGCTTACTTAGGATAAGAGCAAACATTGAGTAGGTAAGGAAGGGCTAAAGGTGTACCAGGCAGAAAGAACAGGCTGTGTAAAAACCCTGAGGTGGGAGGGTGAATGAACAGAGACGAGGAACTGAGACCCTCAGTGTGATCAGAGCAGAGGGAGGAAGGGGCTGGGGGTGGGGATGGGGCGAGGTGGTGCACAGAGGTGCAGGGCCTCACAGGCCATCTTGAAGGGTCAGGTCTTTACTCCCAGTATGATGAAAGCAGCGGGGATGCTAAGTGTTGGGGCCCAGAGACACTTCCACTCAGCCAGATAGCGGAATAAGGACGGCATTCTCAAAGAGATGACTCACCTCTTGAGCTTTGGAGAATGAGTAAGAAGCAGCCAATTAGGGGAGGAGGGGGAGTGAGATGCAAAATCCCTGGGTAGGGCCCAACTGCAATAAATACATTGACAGCCTTCAAATTCTTGGTCCCGACTCCAGAGGTGTTAGATGGGAAAATGGCAGACCAGCGTGTCCAAGACAGAGAGGGCTTGGCACCAGCGCAGCCTTAGGCTAAGAGAGGCATAGTCAGACATGGATTGTAGGTGGCTCGCTCCAGCCGTGCGGCGAGTGGATGTGAAGGAGGTAGGAGTGCAGACAAGGAGATCTTTGAGCAGAATGTTAATAGCCTCAACCAGGCTGGAATTAGGATGAAGCATGGAGCGCGCCTGGGGACGTATTTCGGAGGGAAGGCGAGGAGGCATCTAGGACGATGGGGTGGGTGGTAGCGCCATCTCTGAGATGGACGATAATAGGGGCAAGACGCGGCAAGTTAGAGGTTCGTGTAGGGCAAGCCAAGTGGAACTGTCCGGCCAGCAATGGGATGGGCGCGCCAGGGGTTGCGGAGGGAAAGCTGGGCGTGGGAGGCGCCTCATGTGGGTGACTATTAACCACTCACAGCAAACGAGCGGGTCCCGGAGGGGAGGGGAGAGGAAGACGCTGAGCAGGTCGCTGGAGGATCATCAGTGATGGGATCGGGGCAAGGCTGGCGGCGAGAGAACTGGAGGGGAAGGAGCCCGCAGAGGCTGAGGGGCGGCCGGGAGGTGAGCCCCGCGCCCCGCTGCAGCGGCACCGGGGAAGGTGTGGCATCTCGGGCTGCCCTGCCCGGCTGCAGGCGGAGCCCGAGCGCGCCCGGCTCAGGCCGGCGCTGCGGAGCCAGCCCAGACAGCGGCCTCCCGGCGCTCCTCCGGCTGCCCTGGCTGCAGCCGCCGTGGACAGCAGGGCCACCCCGGCCATCCCCGCCACCCCGGCCATCCCCGCCACCCCAGACTCCCCGCCACTCGGGGCCGCGCCTCCCGACCTCCCGCGGACCCGGCGACGTCACTGCGGCTCTGACGCGCGCTAATGGAGGCACGCGCGGCGCGGGGCGGGGCGGGGCGGCGCGGCGCGGGGCGGGCGTCCTCCCGGGAGGTCCCGGTCCTTGCAGCCGCGACCACGTCCTTGGCCCTCCTCCAAGGGAACCTCGATTTTCCAAACCCGGGAAGGCCGGCTGTCCTTCGGCAACTGAGAAGGACGCGAGCGCGTGGCAAAAGGTGTTAACGATGCCCGGAAAGAAATAGCCGGACCCAAGAAAGAGACAATCATAGCCGCCAGCCAGAGTCCTCCGCTCGCGTGCTCAGCGGACTTAAGAACAATAATAACGACAGCAACCACAATAGCCACCTTTTATTGAGCGCTTACTCGGTGCCAGGCACTGTGTAACGCGCTTTACAGGCAACAACCCTCGAAGGTAAGTACCGCTCTTCTATTTTGCAGGAAACGGGGCACAGAGAGGTTAAGTAACTCGCCGCAAGCACACAGCTAGCGGATGTCAGTGCCAGAATTCCAACCCATTCCTCCGAAGGTCAGTCCGCTGCGCCGGGATCATTCTCTTCATCTTAACGATGAGGAAGCGAAGGCACACGGACATTTCAGTCCCTTGCCCAAGGTCACCTAGCTGCTGGAAGTGGATGAGGCAGAAAGCGAACCCGGGGCTCCTCTCTGTCGGCAGAACCCGTCTTGGCTATAGACGGCGACACTTTCAAACCGCCTCCGACGGCCCAGGAGGCTTTTGCCTCCGAACCCCAAGAGGCGCAGCCTCTTCGGAGTTTGGGTGGGTTCCCGCGGCCTCCGATCCCCGGGTGAATCCATTATTTCTGAGCACAGCATCACCTCTGCTCAGCCCGCAGGCGTCAGAAAGGGGAGCGTCTCCCGAAATCCTGTCGGAGACCCGGCAGCGCGGTCCTCGAAAAGGATGGAGCGGAGGCGGAGGCGGAGGCAGCCGGAGGGATCCCGGGTCCCACCTGCAGGGCGGTGGGGCCGGAGCGCAGTTGACGATTAGCCCATCGCGGCCGGCAGAGGGCGCCGCCGCACGCGCCTCGGGTCCCAAGGCACCAGGCCCTTGGGCTGGCAGGCTCGACCTGCAGACCAGTAAACTCGAAACCCCCAGAGTGGGTGGGATTTTTTGGTTTGTTTATTTATTTTGGTGGCTGGCACCCCTCTGGCCCCTCACCTCAGCTCTGGGCCTGCTTTCCCGACCACTCTTCCCCATCTCCTGAGCTCCGGCCACCCCACCAGTCCACCCCACCGTTGGCCTTCGAGGTTTCCCTAGTCCCTACACTGCTGGTTTAGTCACCTCTTGCTGAGAGGCAAAGAATACTGATCCATCCTATTGAAAGGCTCAGGTGTTTGAAAGTTTGAGCTGTCTCTCTCCTTCTCATGGGCCCTTTGGTGATATAAAATGGGGATAAATCAACCACTTGGAGTAGATAACTTAATTTTCTTTCCTTCTTGAAAATAGGAGGAGGAGGTGGTTAAGGAAGGAGCCAACAGATGAAAGGATCTATTTTCGACATAGCTGCAATGTGATAAGTGCTCGTTTTGTGCTGTCCTTTCTGTGCCTTGAGACCTTAATCCTCACTGCAGGCATGAGAGGTGTGCATCATTATTCGCACTTGACAGATGAGGTCACACGACTGGTAAATGGCAATGCTGGGAACCCATTAGGGGGATCTGACGTTCAAACCATGTCCCCATCACCCAGAATGTACAAGCTGATACAACTGGACAGAAGAGGTAAGGCATAAACCGTGCAAAAACAAACCCAAATCTGCTCTGAATGCTTTCAAAACACCACATGCGAATTAGGGGCTTCAATTGTTTTCTGAGCCCCCACTGAGGACTCAGTTGTCTAAAAAGAAAAATAAAACCTAAAGGAGCAATGAGAGAACAGGCAGGAGGCTGTAGCTTTCTCTTGGAAGAGCATTCGGAGAGGCCCACTCACTTTCTGTGTCTGGGCTCTGAGAAAATAAAGGTGGCTCTAGGAAAATCTGAAAAGTATGAGAGGGGAAAAATCCCTTCTGCGGTTTTTACTTTCACCAAGCCTCATTCTGCTATTCGTGTCTTATTTTAAAACTAATGTGGCTCTCTCCACCCTTTAAATTGGCACGTAAATAGTAAAAACAGAAGGAAGGCCAGCTACAAACTTCAAATGCGGTGGGTTTCTCAGGAAGGAGGTACATGACTTGAAGTGGAAATGCGGATCAAATGAGGTGCCTTAAACATTTCAAAGACAGACTTTCCACAAGGAATTTAGATCATAAGCTCTTAGAACAGGAGCTTTGTCTGGGTTTGGGCTCAGTATGGTGTCTAGAATCTTTGAGTGCCCAATAAATGTGGAAAACAAATCACACTTTTCATCTATGTCTGCATCATCTAACCATCTGGGCCACCACTTGCTTATGGTTTTAGAGTGAGGCTTCTGGGGGATTTTCCTGTCCTCTGGATCTCAGATACACACCCTCCCCCAGACCCCTCACTTCTCCAGAAGTTTGCTCTGGGAATCCAGTCAAGGTGAGGCAATTGTTGATGATGTCATCAGGCTTGGTCACACAGAGTGACTGCATACTCTGGAATCACCAACTGGAGACCTTTCCAAACAAGGAAACCAAGCAGAAGGGGCCTCAGGCGACTTATCCCTTAACAGTTCTCGATCTCTTGCCCAATGTCTTTGAACTAGAAGGATTCCTCTCTTATCCCCTACAAGAGAGCTCTGGACATCCCAGGCTGCCTCTTATAAAATCCTTGGACTTCTTTGATCTTTTCTCTCTGCTCCTTCCCTCATTTTTTCAATGCATTTATTCTACAAACATGCATCAAGAGCCCACTAAGGGTACAGCAGAGAATCTAACATGGGCTTTGAGCTCACGTTTCCCCATTCCTACCTGGCTCCTGACCCCATAGCTCCAACTTTCTTGCCTGCAGAGGCCCCACAATATTAAAAGACTTGCTTCACCAGGTGAGAAGTATTTCACATACATACCTGACATTTTATCAGCCCCTGGCAGCCCCCTGACCCTATAGAGCACCTTGCTGACACCCATTTGGCACAAGTTCTCTGGGCTCTGATATACCCTTAGAAGCAGGAACTGGAGATACTACAGCACTTGTCCACAATCCTTTTCATCCTTCCTAGTCACTCCTTCAGCTCACAAGATCACTGTTGATGACAGAAACAGTTTGGGCCATATTTATGAAACATCTATTACAATAAAAAAAAAAATCTCCTAGTGCCATAATACCCCACTGATCAAAGGAAATTGTTGGCTTAAATAAACAGTGACTACCTGACAAAGGGACGTGTCAGATAATGCTTATGAATTTTTCAGGCCATTTTTTTTAATGGAATCTTGGGAATGAGTGATTCATAATAATGAGGGGAAGGAAAAACAGTAGGCCTGTTTTAGCTCTCAAGATTCTTCAACTGGAATAGATTTTTTACCATAAACACCCTAGAAAAGACAGAAGGCTTAAGGTAAATTGCAAGTGTTTGTCTTTTGGGAAAATATTAATACTAAAGAACCTTGGTCTTGACCCATTCCAAATAAATAAATAAATAAATAAATAAATAAATAAAAGAATTGGACCATAGAATTCAGACTATGTCCCTGGAAATCCCTTTAGAAAGTAGATTCCAAATCAGTACTCTTATTCTTTTTGAATATCCCACCCCCTAAGACTGCCCCATCCTTCCAGATCCAGCATTATTTTCTCTCCTCTTCAGGAAGGCAGTGGCTCCGAGACCAGAAGGATGGAGAGTGAGGAGGACTTTCCCTTACCTGGGTTGCAGAACCATTTGAATTTAGAGAACTCATTGTATGTGTGGTGTCTGCATAGGTTTCTGGTAGTGCATTCTCTGGCTGATGTCCAAAGTCTTCAAAGCATGGGGGCCTGAGATATGCCCAAAGGAACGCCTATCTGTGGAAGAAGCGGGTCCCCCCACCAAGAAGTTCTTGGTGGTCAGTGTCTGCGTGTCCGCTGCTGGGGTGAAGAGAATTGGAAACCACTGAACATTCCTGCTGGGATCTTTCCAAGCCCTTTTGGGAACCGGCAACAGCTCTTGTCTGGGGAAATTAGTTTTGCACTTTCACGGAGTGAGAAATTCCTCAGGGGCATTCTTGTACTTGGGAAGAGAAATCAAACCCAGCTCATTCCTTCAGGGCCCATGCTATTAATAAAGCCGACCGAGTTCAGTTCCGTGGGTCCAGCCTGGGGCTATGGGTGGGGCTGGAGCAAAGGAGTTCAGCGAATTTCACCTGTGGCTCAGGCCCTCGCCTGGCTGGCGACTGGCGCAAGCTTGAGATTTCAGGGGATTGTGTTACCAGCGTGTAAACGCCGTGGGTGACAGCCAACGTCCCCAAGAGACCACAGAGGATCTCAAACCCTTCCTATCTTCCTAGAAACCCTGGCGGCCCGGCTGGCTGCTTGCTGTCTGATGCAACAGTTTGCAACGCCGTTCTGGGAGCCCAGCCTGCTGCGGGGAGCTGGGCGTCCTGCCGACGCGCATGCGCGGGCTGCGGGCCTGCGGGGCGGCACCGGGCGGGGCGCGGGAGAGGCTTGGCCGGAGTGTGCCGGGGACTGGGCGGGCACGGAGACCTTTGGCAGCCCGCGCCCGCGATCTGAGCTTAATTAAACTTCTCCTGAGGCATTGGCTGACTGATTGACCCAGTGATCCAAAGAAAATCAGAGAGCCCCGAATCGCCCTGTGAACGCCACGGGAAAGGGAAGTTGGGGAGTTGGCTTTCGATTTCCAGAGCTGGGCCTTTCAATTCAGCCTCCCTCCCCTGAGCGCTCCCCAATCCACGATGCCATGGGGGCTCAAACATTCATCAGGGCCTTCGCCAACGCTTGCCTGAGCTCTCCTTTCACTTCACAAGAAAGGGAAGAGCAGTGGTTACGGGGGGGGGGGAAGAGACAAAGTTTTTGTTTTGTTTTGTTTTGTTGTTGTTGTTGTTGTTAATCCTCGCCCGAGGATATTTTTCCATTGCTCTTTTAGAGAGAGTGGAAGAGAAGGGGAAAGACAGAGAGAAACATCCTTATGAGAGAAACACATGGATTGGTTGCCTCCTGCATGAGCCCTGACCAGGGCCCTGGCCAGGAAGGAGCCTGCAGCCAAGGTTGCGCCCTTGACCTGAATCGAACCAAGGACCCTTTGGTCCGCAGGCCAAGGAAGAGGCAAAGTTTTGATAGGATCTTGATCTGTCATTTTCCCAGCCTGCGTTCTCCACCCATATGGTTTTTGGTGGTGGTGGTTGTTTTTGCAGAAGGGAACATGGCATTATAGATTATTTCCCAAAAATTTCAGCCTTTCAAGTATTGCCTTCATGATTTCCTTACACAGTCCATCTATATTATATTTTTAATTGACTTTTATTTTACGTTACTAACTTTCCTTATTCTTTAAATTAACTTTAAATTGATTCCCTTTTTCTACATAGCCTTGCCCTAAGCAATAACATTAGCGAAGCCACAGCTTTGATGTGCTAGTCACATATTTTAATACACTTGAAAATAAATTTATAACTATCCAAATAAAAAATGTACATGCTAGCTAAAAGTTTCTTGCTGCTACATTTGGAGAAAAACTCCAGAGGTAATAACAATAATAGCTAACATGTGTTGAGTGATGGCCAATGTCCCAGGCACTGTTTTAGCACTTTAACTATTCCACGTCCTTATGACACCTTAGAAGGTGGGTGTTCTTTATATTTTACAGAGGAGAAAAGTGAGGCACAGAGAGGTTAAATTACTTGCCTAAGATCACCAAGTCAGGATGAAAACTCTACTGAGACTAGAGCAGTGGTTCTCAACCTTCTGGCCCTTTAAATACAGTTCCTCATGTTGTGACCCAACCATAAAATTATTTTCGTTGCTACTGCATAACTGTAATGTTGCTACTGTTATGAATCATAATGTAAATATCTGATATGCAGGATGGTCTTAGGCGACCCCTGTGAAAGGGTCCTTCGACCGCCAAAGGGGTCGTGACCCACAGGTTGAGAACCACTGGATTAGAGCCTCTACTGCTGGCCTATCAAAGAGGCTAAGTTACTGGGGAAGATCACCCAGGTGGTTAGTCAGTCTGCATTTGAACCCAAGTCTGGCTGACTCCAGAACTGAGCTCTAACTCCTTCCTGCTATTTTCCCAAATCTCGCCTCATACAGCCTTTTTATCTGTCTGCCTCCTTGGAATCCAAAAGATGCTTCCAAGTATTTCTCTCCTCATCCCCTACATCTCCCCTTCTCTCTCCCTCTGGGTGGAACAAAGGTTCTCATTTCTAGTGTTTTATTCTCTTCTCCAAACTAAGTATCCCATAAATCTCCCATGCCTACTTTGAAGGTCCTATCTACTTCCCTCCATTGGCCAGAGAACTGCTTAGAAATTCCAACTATTAGCATCGCCAAACTACATTTCCCAGACTGCCATTCTCACCTGGAAAGAGAACAAAAATCCTATGTCAAACCATGTGGCTCCTATTTTGGGGTTGGAAAATCTGGTCACTAGCTTGGATAACGATTGGTATGCCCATAGACTAATTCTTCTGGCCCAAGACAGACATGTATTTCCCAGGCCTCAATGATTAGAGGACGGTGGGGGGTGGGGGGGGGGTGGGGGGGCGGGTGTGTGTGTGTGTGTGTGTGTGTGTGTTGGGGATTATTTCAGCAAACAAAACCTTCAATTAGAGGCATAAGTGAAGACTTGGCCTAAGACTTCTAAAAGATGGCTGACCCATGCCCAGTAGATATATTTTCTGTCTTCAACAACCCCTACCACCACCACCCCTTCCCTCTCTTCACTTCCTTTTCCTTCCCCTTCTTCCAGATTCTTCTCTTAATTGTACCATTGTGCCACTCCTTTGCTCCCCGACCCCCATGCCCACACCCACTCTTTAACTGTTTAGTATAAAATCCAGCCCACCAGACTGAGGTTTTCTTCCATCCAAATGTTATTTTCAGAAGGAGCCATTGAGGTTGGGGTGTAATTGCAGCGTTGGGCCTCTGCAAGCCAAGCTGAAAATAATCAGCGAGGCAGATGGGGTGGGAAGAGTGTGGTGGCCACTGCCCAAAGAGCGAGAGAAACCCAATGGAGTGAGTCAGAGAGAGGCAAGGGCCAGGCTGGGCCTGCTGGGCTTATGGCTGGGAGTTCAGTTAAGGGGAAACTGCCCAAGCTGTTGGGGCCTTTGACTGAGGTCCTATCCAAGGTGGTTCCTGCCTGCACATCACAAGTCCATATTTCCTGTGACAGCCACTAAGCTTCTCTTGCTCTTACTCAATTGGGCCATAGGCGAATTAGCCATCCAGACGGCTCACCCATCTCTAGAGCAGGGTTCGCTCTATTGGCACGTTGGGCTGGATAATTCTTTGTTGTAGGGGGCTGTCTTGTGCATTGTATGGTGTTTAGGAATATCCTTGGCCTCTACCCTCTAGATGCCAGTAGCGCGCGCGCGCGCACACACACACACACACACACACACACACACAGTCCTGACTATCAAAAATGTCAAATGTTCTTGGGAGGCAAAATCACCCCTGGTTGAGAACCTCTCGTCTAGAGTGGTCCAGGCTTCTAGAAGGGTTACATCACCTGTCCCAGTGGTGGCCTCACTGCCTCGCATAATATCTGAATGTGTCCTGATAAAAACTATTGGCTAACTACCATTTCCAATGACAACCGTTGAGTACTCCGGACCCAGCATGAGTGCCAACTGTGCCAGGCACTAGACAAGGTCCTTAGAATAAAGCAGCGAACAGGACGGACATGCCCCTGTCCTCACGGAAATGACAGGTGGAGTGGGGGCAAGACGGGCATTAAACAACCCTGAGTGAGAGGTGTGTAAAGAAGAGAAGTGGGGTACTGAAAGAAAGTCAAAGAAGGTTTCTCACCTAGGTTATGGGGTCAAGAAGGGTGCTTGGGGGAAATGAGAAATTAACCAGTGGGAGATTTGAGGGTGAAGCAGTGTCCCTGAATAGGGACAGAGTGCTCAGAAGCCCTGAGTTAAGAGAGAATGTCGGACATTCAAGGAACCCAAAGAAGTCTGTCATGGACCAGGCTTAGGAGGCTGGGAAGTCCTTTTCTCCTCTCTCCCCACAGCTTGCTTTCCCTCTACTCCTTCTCCAGGTTTCCAGCACAAGCATATAAACTTAGAATCATATTAAACCATATTTAAAACCCCACTTGTCCTTGCTCAAACCCCCACCCCTTAGTCACCCAGTTACCAAGTTTTGTCATTTTACCACCAAAATCTCCTTGTCTCCATTCCCACCACCACAGCCCTATTGCAGGCTCTCTTCATTACTCAGCCGAATTTGTGAAATAGCTTCCTAACGAGTCATCTTCCAGGCTCTTCCTCAAAGGAAGACAGAGATCTGACCATGTCTCCGCTGGCTTGCAAACCCTGCAGGCTTCAGAGATCTGTTGGAGAGGCTGCTGCCTCCGTGGCTTTTATTCACTAACAGCGCCCAGCTACCTCCCACTCTCTAGCCACACGGGACCACTAGCCACACCTGGTGGGCCTTCGCACCTCTGTGATTTTGCTGTTCTCTTTGTCTGGATTGCCCTTCCCCCACCAAAATCATTTGGGGAATTCCCACATATCCTTTAAGACCTAGACAAAATGAGCTCATGATTCTCTCCTATCTCTTCTTAGAAGGCTTCTCGTAATTCTTCCCTCTGTTTTTATTGGGATTTATATGTCGCTGCTGGTTTACCATTTGTCTTGTTCACCCTTAGTTATCTGTTTAAACCCATCCCTCCCCCACAGAGTGGGAGGGTCTCAGAGGCAGATAATGTAGTAGGCACTGCTGGCTGATTACCCAGCACCCATTGCCCCCTCCCCATTTCCAGAGAGCAGCCAAAGAAATGCAAGGCGCAGTGTACTATTTAGTGTAGAAGCTAAACTGTTAATACAAACACACCCAGAGTACAGAGTCTTAAGCAAGCACGTGTGCCCCAGTGAAAGCTGAGCCCTTGCCCAGCTTCCGGGTTGGGCCTCCACCTTCTCAAGAACTGGTTCAGGAACCTGAGCCTAAATTAATCAGTGTGCAGTCGAGACTTCCTGGTTCCTATTCTCCCCTTCTTTAATAACAGAAGTCCTGATTTTTCCAGCAGATGGCTATCTTGTAAGACTACACTTCCCAGTCTCCCTTGCAGCTTGATGTGCTGTTAGTCTAAATTCTCACCAGAGGATTATGAGCAGAAATAATTGTATCACTTCTAGGTTGTGCCCTCACAAGGAATGTGCGTGTGCTCCCCTGACCGACCTCCTACCCTTCCCCCCAACTTGGAGATGATAAAAACTGAAGCAGTCTCCCTAGACCAGTGGTTCTCAACCTTCCTAATGCCGCGACCCTTTAATACAGCTCCTCATGTTGTGGTGACCCCCAACATAAAATTATCTTCGTTGCTACTTCATAACTGTAATTTTGCTACTGGTATGAATCGTATGTAAATATCTGATATGCAGGATGTATTTTCATTGTTACAAATTGAACATAATTAAAGCATAGTGATTAATCACAAAAACAATATGTAATTATATATGTGTTTTCCGATGGTCTTAGGCAACCCCTGTGAAAGGGTCGTTCGACCCCCAAAGGGGTCTCGACCCACAGGTTGGTGACCCACAGGTTGAGAACCGCTGCCCTAGACAAAGAGAAGGAAGCCACGTCTGGAGGAAGATGGAGACCTCCTAGCAGTCTCTGAAGGTTTTTTTTCTGAACTCTTATATCATATGAAAGAGATATAAATTTCTATTTTGCTTATACTTCTGTATTTGGAGTCTCTTTGTTACAGCAACTTGCCCATACTCTATAAAATATGTAGCGCCTGGCTTCCCTGGGACTTAAACTTGTCCAGGACTGGGCCTGTGACCTAGTTAGGG